TGCCAGACATGGGAATACGTTTTGACTGATATTCACCTCATCCTCCTTTATAGCATACATGTGTTCCTCCTCTTCCTCCACCTCCTCTCTTCCTCCTTCCAGACGCGCTTCTCTCTCTGCTTTCCATTTCTCCACTGCCTCCAATATCACTGAGACAACACACACACACAAGTTACTTGAGGTGACCATGTGTATTGGGTTAAGTACTGTGTATTGGGTTGTATTGGGTTAAGTATTGTGTATTGGGTTGTATTGGGTTAAGTATTGGGTTAAGTAGAGTCCATTCCTGTTCTGAGGGCAAACGGGAGTGAGTCCATTCCTGTTCTGAGGGCAAACGGGAGTGAGTCCATTCCTGTTCTGAGGGCAAACGGGAGTGAGTCCATTCCCTGACGAATTGAGGCTGTTCTGAGGGCAGACGGGAGTGAGTCCATTCCCTGACGAATTGAGGCTGTTCTGAGGGCAGACGGGAGTGAGTCCATTCCTGTTCTGAATGGACTCACTCCTGTTTGCCCTCAGAACAGCCTCAATTCGTCAGGGAATGGACTCACTCCCGTTTGGCCTCAGAACAGGAATGGACTCACTCCTGTTTGCCCTCAGAACAGGAATGGACTCACTCCTGTTTGCCCTCAGAACAGGAATGGACTCTACAAGATGTCGTTCCACAGGGATCCTAATGTGTTGTACACTCAGTGTAGATTTTTAGGTGTCATGTCAGTACCCTCCAACTACCTTCGACCACAGGAAAAACCTTTCATCCAGAGGATTTGTAAAGAGGTCTCATATGAGAGTTATCAGTGGTCCTGTGGTGTTGAGTAAAGAGGATTTCATATGAGAGTTATCAGTGGTCCTGTGGTGTTGAGTAAAGAGGTCTCCTATGAGAGGTATCAGTGGTCCTGTGGTGTTGAGTAAAGAGGTCTCCTATGAGAGGTATCAGTGGTCCTGTGGTGTTGAGTAAAGAGGTCTCATATGAGAGTTATCAGTGGTCCTGTGGTGTTGAGTAAAGAGGTCTCCTATGAGAGGTATCAGTGGTCCTGTGGTGTTGAGTAAAGAGGTATCCTATGAGAGGTATCAGTGGTCCTGTGGTGTTGAGTAAAGAGGTATCCTATGAGAGGTATCAGTGGTCCTGTGGTGTTGAGTAAAGAGGTATCCTATGAGAGTTATCAGTGGTCCTGTGGTGTTGAGTAAAGAGGTATCCTATGAGAGGTATCAGTGGTCCTGTGGTGTTGAGTAAAGAGGTATCCTATGAGAGGTATCAGTGGTCCTGTGGTGTTGAGTAAAGAGGTCTCCTATGAGAGGTATCAGTGGTCCTGTGGTGTTGAGTAAAGCGATATCCTATGAGAGGTATCAGTGGTCCTGTGGTGTTGAGTAAAGAGGTATCCTATGAGAGGTATCAGTGGTCCTGTGGTGTTGAGTAAAGAGGTATCCTATGAGAGGTATCAGTGGTCCTGTGGTGTTGAGTAAAGAGGATTTCATATGAGAGGTATCAGTGGTCCTGTGGTGTTGAGTAAAGAGGTATCCTATGAGAGGTATCAGTGGTCCTGTGGTGTTGAGTAAAGAGGTATCCTATGAGAGGTATCAGTGGTCCTGTGGTGTTGAGTAAAGAGGTCTCCTATGAGAGGTATCAGTGGTCCTGTGGTGTTGAGTAAATAGATCTCCTATGAGAGGTATCAGTGGTCCTGTGGTGTTGAGTAAAGAGGTATCCTATGAGAGGTATCAGTGGTCCTGTGGTGTTGAGTAAAGAGGTCTCCTATGAGAGGTATCAGTGGTCCTGTGGTGTTGAGTAAAGAGGTCTCCTATGAGAGGTATCAGTGGTCCTGTGGTGTTGAGTAAAGAGGTCTCCTATGAGAGGTATCAGTGGTCCTGTGGTGTTGAGTAAAGAGGTCTCCTATGAGAGGTATCAGTGGTCCTGTGGTGTTGAGTAAAGAGGTCTCCTATGAGAGGTATCAGTGGTCCTGTGGTGTTGAGTAAAGAGGTCTCCTATGAGAGGTATCAGTGGTCCTGTGGTGTTGAGTAAAGAGGTCTCCTATGAGAGGTATCAGTGGTCCTGTGGTGTTGAGTAAAGAGGTCTCCTATGAGAGGTATCAGTGGTCCTGTGGTGTTGAGTAAAGAGGTCTCCTATGAGAGGTATCAGTGGTCCTGTGGTGTTGAGTAAAGAGGTATCCTATGAGAGGTATCAGTGGTCCTGTGGTGTTGAGTAAAGAGGTCTCCTATGAGAGGTATCAGTGGTCCTGTGGTGTTGAGTAAAGAGGTCTCCTATGAGAGTTATCAGTGGTCCTGTGGTGTTGAGTAAAGAGGTCTCCTATGAGAGTTATCAGTGGTCCTGTGGTGTTGAGTAAAGAGGTCTCCTATGAGAGTTATCAGTGGTCCTGTGGTGTTGAGTAAAGAGGTCTCCTATGAGAGTTATCAGTGGTCCTGTGGTGTTGAGTAAAGAGGTCTCCTATGAGAGGTATCAGTGGTCCTGTGGTGTTGAGTAAAGAGGTCTCCTATGAGAGTTATCAGTGGTCCTGTGGTGTTGAGTAAAGAGGTATCCTATGAGAGGTATCAGTGGTCCTGTGCTCCAAGTAGAGGACTATAATATTAGATATTAACTCTAATAGGGAACACATGATCTCTGAGCAGCATCACATCACCCATTACTATCAGGTCACAAGACCACAGCAGGATACAGCACCTACACAAAGACAGACTTTCTCTCTACCGGGACAGCAGAGGGACAGCCTAATGTTATAACCTGGAGTCACGTTAACTAAATTCTTGTGCTGACACGTTCCCTTTCCAGAGACACAGGAGGATTCCTGACTGACCTGCTGACCTGCTGACCTACTGATCTGCTGACCTGCCCTACTCCTCACCATGGCCTTAGTAACACACACACACAGCAGGAAGGATATTAATCTACTGTAGAGGGGTGTGAACCTTGTTTCTCGTACTCCTGCTCCAGCGGGACAAGCGCACCATCGTCCTCATCTCTGTATCCGTAGTACTCAGCATCGATGTCCTTCATCAGCTCAGCTCTGCTCTTCCTGGGAGGAGGGATGGCTGGGGGGGACAATCAGTACACATTCAATAGTGCTGTCAAACATGGTATCCATGGTATTAACCTAAACTGGACATCATCCATGGAGTATAAATTGGCAGTAAACGTACGTTCTTTCTCAAACAGCTCTCTGACTCCAGGCAGGTCTTTAGCCGCTCCAAAGTATTTATATCCTCTGTTTCCTGGGACCTCCTTTCCTTCGTGGTCCAGCATCCTTGGTCCCACTCTCTGGAAGATGGATACAAGAGAACATGACAATGACCCTGTGTTCTGATTCAGGACAAGACTAATACTGTCATTTAATATCCCATTACATTAACATGACACTAGTGATCAGGTAATGACTTGACTTGCTGTTTGATCTGGCTTTGGAATTCAGTGATTTTACCGGTGTCTTGGTTTTGGTCACTTTGAACTTATCATCTGCTCCACCACTGTCTCCCCCCTGTCTCCCCCTGTCTCCCCCCTGTCTCCCCCTGCCTCCCCCCTGTCTCCCCCTGTCTCCCTCTGTCTGGTACAGGTACCCCCTGTCTCCCCCCTGTCTCCCCCTGTCTCCCCCCTGTCTCCCCCTGCCTCCCCCTGTCTGGTACAGGTACCCCCTGTCTCCCCCTGTCTCCCCCCTGTCTCCCGCTGTCTGGTACAGGTACCCCCTGTCTCCCCCCTGTCTCCCCCTGTCTCCCCCTGTCTCCCGCTGTCTGGTACAGGTACCCCCTGTCTCCCCCCTGTCTCCCCTGTCTCCCCCCTCTCTCCCACTGTCTGGTACAGGTACCCCCTGTCTCCCCCCTGTCTCCCCCTGTCTCCCCCTGTCTGGTACAGGTACCCCCTGTCTCCCCCGGTCCTCCCCTGTCTGGGTACAGGTACCCCTGTCTCCCCCTGTCTCCCCCCTGTCTCCCCCTGTCTGGTACAGGTACCCCCTGTCTCCCCCCTGTCTCCCCCTGTCTCCCCCTGTCTGGTATAGACACCCCCCCCACCACACTCCCCCTGTCCTCCCCCCTGTCTCCCCCTGTCTCCCCCTGTCTGGTATAGACACCCCCACCACACCTCCCCCTGTCTCCCCCTGTCTCCCCCCCTGTCTGGTATAGGACACCCCCACCACACTCCCCCTGTCTCCCCCTGTCTCCCCCCTGTCTGGTATAGACACCCCCACCACACTCCCCCTGTCTCCCCCCTGTCTCCCCCCTGTCTCCCCATGTCTGGTATAGACACCCCCACCACACTCCCCTGTCTCCCCCTGTCTCCCCCCGTCTCCCCCTGGTCTGGTATAGGACACCCCCACCACACTCCCCCTGTCCCCCCCTGTCTCCCCCTGTCTGGTATAGACACCCCCACCACACTCCCCCTGTCTCCCCCCTGTCTCCCCCTGTCTGGTATAGACACCCCCACCACACTCCCCCTGTCTCCCCCTGTCTCCCCCTGTCTGGTATAGGTACCCCCACCACACTCCCCCTGTCTCCCCCTGTCTGGTATAGACACCCCCACCACACTCCCCCTGTCTCCCCCTGTCTCCCCCTGTCTCCTCCCTGTCTGGTATAGACACCCCCACCACACTCCCCCTGTCTCCCCCTGTCTCCCCCTGTCTGGTATAGGTACCCCCACCACACTCCCCCTGTCTCCCCCCTGTCTCCCCCCGTCTCCCCCCGTCTGGTGAATTTTATATTTTTTACTGACGACATGATTGTCGGTTTCATATCTTCATATTAAAACGTCAGTTCTACTTTAAAGCTGCAAAATGTAACCTGACAGACAGTTGAAGTCGGAAGTTTACATACACCTTAGCCAAATACATTTAAACTCAGTTTTTCACAATTCCTGACATTTAATCCTAGTAAAAATTCCCTGTCTTAGGTCAGTTAGGATCACCACTTTATTTTAAGAATGTGAAATGTCAGAATAATAGTAGAGAGAATGATTTATTCAGCTTTTATTTCTTTCATCACATTCCCAGAGGGTCAGAAGTTTACATACACTCAATTAGTATTTGGTAGCATTGCCTTTAAATTGTTTAACTTGGGTCATACGTTTCCGGTAGCCTTCCACAAGCTTCCCACAATAAGTTGGGTGAATTTTGGCCCATTCCTCCTGACAGAGCTGGTATAACTGAGTCAGGTTTGTAGGCCTCCTTGCTCGCACACACTTTTTCAGTTCTGCCCACAGATTTTCTATAGGATTGAGGTCAGGGCTTTGTGATGGCCACTCCAATACCTTGACTTTGTTGTCCTTAAGCCATTTTGCCACAACTTTGGAAGTATGCTTGGGGTCATTGTCCATTTGGAAGACCCATTTGCGACTAAGCTTTAACTTCCTGACTGATGTCTTGAGATGTTGCTTCAATATATCCACATAATTTTCCTTCCTCATGATGCCATCTATTTTGTGAAGTGCACCAGTCACTCAACTTAGTGTATGTAAACTTCTGACCCACTGGAATTGTGATACAGTGAATTATAAGTGAAATAATCTGTCTGTAAACAATTGTTGGAAGAATTACTTGTGTCATGCACAAAGTAGATGTCCTAACCGACTTGCCAAAACTATAGTTTGTTAACAAGACATTTGTGGAGTGGTTGAAAAACGAGTTTTAATGACTCCAACCTAAGTGTATGTAAACTTACGACCAACTGTAGATATGTCATTCTCATTGAAAGCAAGTCTAAAAAGGGGTAGATCTGTTCTATGTGCTCTATTTCTATTTCTATGCTTCCCGTTCTTAAGTTGAGTTTTTGCGTCTTTTACTTTCGGTTTTGTCCACCAGCTTTAAACAGCTGAATTTTTGGTTATGGAATAGATATTTCACAGCAGTTTAGATGGTACAATGATTCTCTACACTATACTTGCTTGTTTTGTCACAAACTGAAATTAGGCTAACTATTACAATTTTAGCAACCAGGAAATGGCGGAGTGATTTCTGCATAGTGCACCTTTGAAGACTGAATCCATATTAGGGGAAACACATACACATACGCACAATATCACACATGCACACACACTTTCATAAAATACGATATTGCTACTATTTATTATTATTATTTATCCTGCTGCTAGTCACTTTATACCCCTGCGTACATGTACAGATTACCTCAACTTCCACCGTATCCCTGCACATTGTTAATATGGTATAGAACTGACCCTGGAACTGTCCCTGTATATAGCTACTGACCCTGGAACTGTCCCTGTATATAGCTACTGACCCTGGAACTGACCCTGTATATAGCTACTGACCCTGGAACTGTCCCTGTATATAGCTACTGACCCTGGAACTGTCCCTGTATATAGCTACTGACCCTGGAAACTGTCCCTGTATATAGCTACTGACCCTGGGGTATATAGCTACTGACCCTGGAACTGTCCCTGTATATAGCTACTGACCCTGGAACTGACCCTGTATATAGCTACTGACCCTGGAACTGTCCCTGTATATAGCTACTGACCCTGGAACTGTCCCTGTATATAGCTACTGACCCTGGAACTGTCCCTGTATATAGCTACTGACCCTGGAACTGACCCTGTATATAGCTACTGACCCTGGAACTGACCCTGTATATAGTCACCTGACCCCTATACATATCTACCTCCATCACTCCAGTATCCCTGCACATTGTTAATATGGTACTGGAACTGACCCTGTATATAGTCACCTGACCCCTATACATATCTACCTCCATCACTCCAGTATCCCTGCACATTGTTAATATGGTACTGGAACTGACCCTGTATATAGTCACCTGACCCCTATACATATCTACCTCCATCACTCCAGTATCCCTGTCACCTTACCCCTATACATATCTACCTCCATCACTCCAGTATCCCTGCACATTGTTAATATGGTACTGGAACTGACCCTGTATATAGTCACCTGACCCCTATACATATCTACCTCCATCACTCCAGTATCCCTGTCACCTTACCCCTATACATATCTACCTCCATCACTCCAGTATCCCTGCACATTGTTAATATGGTACTGGAACTGACCCTGTATATAGTCACCTGACCCCTATACATATCTACCTCCATCACTCCAGTATCCCTGTCACCTTACCCCTATACATATCTACCTCCATCACTCCAGTATCCCTGCACATTGTTAATATGGTACTGGAACTGACCCTGTATATAGTCACCTGACCCCTATACATATCTACCTCCATCACTCCAGTATCCCTGTCACCTTACCCCTATACATATCTACCTCCATCACTCCAGTATCCCTGCACATTGTTAATATGGTACTGGAACTGACCCTGTATATAGTCACCTGACCCCTATACATATCTACCTCCATCACTCCAGTATCCCTGCACATTGTTAATATGGTACTGGAACTGACCCTGTATATAGTCACCTGACCCCTATACATATCTACCTCCATCACTCCAGTATCCCTGTCACCTTACCCCTATACATATCTACCTCCATCACTCCAGTATCCCTGCACATTGTTAATATGGTATTGGAACTGACCCTGTATATAGTCACCTGACCCCTATACATATCTACCTCCATCACTCCAGTATCCCTGCACATTGTTAATATGGTACTGGAACTGACCCTGTATATAGTCACCTTACCCCTATACATATCTACCTCCATCACTCCAGTATCCCTCCACATTGTTAATATGGTATTGGAACTGACCCTGTATATAGTCACCTGACCCCTATACATATCTACCTCCATCACTCCAGTATCCCTGCACATTGTTAATATGGTATTGGAAACTGACCCTGTATATAGTCACCTGACCCCTATACATATCTACCTCCATCACTCCAGTATCCCTGGACATTGTTAATATGGTACTGGAACTGACCCTGTATATAGTCACCTTACCCCTATACATATCTACCTCCATCACTCCAGTATCCCTCCACATTGTTAATATGGTACTGGAACTGACCCTGTATATAGTCACCTGACCCCTATACATATCTACCTCCATCACTCCAGTATCCCTGCACATTGTTAATATGGTACTGGAACTGACCCTGTATATAGTCCCCTTACCCCTATACATATCTACCTCCATCACTCCAGTATCCCTGCACATTGTTAATATGGTATTGGAACTGACCCTGTATATAGTCACCTGACCCCTATACACATCTACCTCCATCACTCCAGTATCCCTGCACATTGTTAATATGGTACTGGAACTGACCCTGTATATAGTCACCTGACCCCTATACACATCTACCTCCATCACTCCAGTATCCCTGCACATTGTTAATATGGTACTGGAACTGACCCTGTATATAGTCACCTGACCCCTATACATATCTACCTCCATCACTCCAGTATCCCTGCACATTGTTAATATGGTACTGGAACTGACCCTGTATATAGTCACCGTACCCCTATACATATCTACCTCCATCACTCCAGTATCCCTGCACATTGTTAATATGGTACTGGAACTGACCCTGTATATAGTCACCTGACCCCTATACATATCTACCTCCATCACTCCAGTATCCCTGTCACCTTACCCCTATACATATCTACCTCCATCACTCCAGTATCCCTGCACATTGTTAATATGGTACTGGAACTGACCCTGTATAAAGCTCATATTCTTCTGTCTTATTTCTCCTGTTTTTATTTTGTGTTGATTCAGTGCTTTTTTTAAAAGATCCTATTATGGATTCTCTATTTTGTACCTTGATATTAAACTCTGCATAGTGAACTTGTAAGGAAGAATTTCGCTGTATGGTTTACAACTGTTCTTTTCATGTTAGAAATCCCCCAACCCTATTACCCCGTAGTCAGGTCCTCCCAGCTCCTTGATCCTGACCTCCCAGTGACCTTTCTCTCTCAGCAGCTTATTGATCTCATCGTTCAGGTCCCGGATCTTAAACTCTCCCAGACCAGCTAGCAGAGAGAATAACAGGGAAACAAATGGATGAGGTTATGCTCTTCATTCATTTATATTTTTACATTTTAGTCATTTAGCAGACGCTCTTATCCAGAGCGACTTACAGTTAAGTGAGTGCATACATTTTTCATAAACATTTACTAACGGTTCAATGTCACATGTAGGACAACTCACCGTTTTGAATTTGAGCAACTTTCTTGGAGATCTCACTGATAATCTGTCGTCTCCACTTCTCTGCTTTAGGCAGCTCCGTACATTCTGAGGCCAGAAACGGTCTCCTCTCCTGGAACAGTCAACAGACATGTCAGGATAACACAACACAAGAGCCACGACCAATGAAGACTTTATGATGATTAGTGAACTCTCTGGGATAATAAAGCTGAACGTTTTAATCATTCTCCATCATAATCATCATCCTCACCCTGACTTTGCCCTCCTCCATCTGAGCATTTCTGAACCGGGCCAAGGCCGTCCTGGGGAGACAAGGTGTATTTCATAAGTTAATACAAATACATACTGATACATAATACATTCATGAGCAGTACTTAGAGTAGCCAAATAGAAAAAGTAGCCAGCCAGGTGCCCCCGGGCTGGGTTAAATTTTCTTTTCCTATTTTGGTGGCCTCTGGTGCATTTTTTTTGCCTTGATTCAATCTGAAATACAGAGAAATTATTGAATACTTTGAGTTTACCTCTCAGAATGGAAAAATGAGTTGTGGTATTGTGAATAAAGACATGACTTTACAATTTAAATAACAGAAAATGTCTGAATTCAGTGTATTGTTAGTTGTTTTGGATATCGTTTCAGTGTATTGTCAGTTGTTTTGGATATCGTTTCAGTGTATTGTCAGTTGTTTTGGATATCGTTTCAGTGTATTGTCAGTTGTTTTGGATATCGTTTCAGTGTATTGTTAGTTGTTTTGGATATCGTTTCAGTGTATTGTTAGTTGTTTTGGATATCATTTCAGTGTATTGTCAGTTGTTTTGGATATCGTTTCAGTGTATTGTCAGTTGTTTTGGATATCGTTTCAGTGTATTGTTAGTTGTTTTGGATATCGTTTCAGTGTATTGTCAGTTGTTTTGGATATCGTTTCAGTGTATTGTCAGTTGTTTTGGATATCGTTTCAGTGTATTGTTAGTTGTTTTGGATATCGTTTCAGTGTATTGTTAGTTGTTTTGGATATCGTTTCAGTGTATTGTTAGTTGTTTTGGATATCGTTTCAGTGTATTGTCAGTTGTTTTGGATATCGTTTCAGTGTATTGTTAGTTGTTTTGGATATCGTTTCAGTGTATTGTTAGTTGTTTTGGATATCGTTTCAGTGTATTGTTAGTTGTTTTGGATATCGTCTAGGACTATACGATCAGGACTATTTTCTAAGTAAAAGAACAGTAAACCTTTAACATTTAACCTGTCTTCTCTTGAGATTTAAGTCTTATTTACAGTTTTACTGCAAGATATGAATTGCCACAAAGATGTTTGTTTTTCAAATTATGAATTTTATTAAAACAGACAAAGTAAGTAAATAGCCCCACATTATCTTAAAATCAATTAAAGGTTTTGTTTTTCCAGGTTTCTGTTTTTTTAACACTTTATTCAGTAACCGTAGACTGGGTAGATGACATGAAATATATTGTAATATACTATGAAATATTGAATGTTCTGAGTCCACAACCTTAAACCACATCAGGAGACCACTTTTGAGGTCTGGGAAAATCTAGAAAATGTTGATTTGTGGTTTTAGTTCCCCTTTAATTCAAGTCTACACCTAGCAAGAGGCTGTTGTTTAGCAGTGTTTTTGTAGTGACCATGTCATGGTAGAGTTCGCCAAACTAATACCCACTGGATTGATGAAAATAATCATATCATTCTGCCAGGTTAGCATAGGCTACTTTGTAGTTAACATTTTATTGAGAAGGTTTTTGGGAAAGCCTTTCCCTCTACCAGAAGACTGTTTTCATTGGCATCATCGCTAACGGCTACACACAGACAGGGGCATTCCTGTTGCCTCTTCAGAAGTTTGCAGGAAATACGAATCACTGAAGCATTCGGTTCCTGTCTTATGATAAACTTGGGAAAATTAATATACACTGCTCAAAAAAATAAAGGGAACACTAAAGTAACACATACTTAAATACTTTTTTCTTTACATAGTTGAATGTGCTGACAACAAAATCACACAAAAATTTATCAACCCATGGAGGTCTGGATTTGGAGTCACCCTCAAAATTAAAGTGGAAAACCACACTACAGGCTGATCCAACTTTGATGTAATGTCCTTAAAACAAGTCAAAATGAGGCTCAGTAGTGTGTGTGGCCTCCACGTGCCTGTATGACCTCCCTACAACGCCTGGGCATGCTCCTGATGAGGTGGCGGATGGTCTCCTGAGGGATCTCCTCCCAGACCTGGACTAAAGCATCCGCCAACTCCTGGACAGTCTGTGGTGCAACGTGGCGTTGGTGGATGGAGCGAGACATGATGTCCCAGATGTGCTCAATTGGATTCAGGTCTCGGGAACGGGCGGGCCAGTCCATAGCATCAATGCCTTCCTCTTGCAGGAACTGCTGACACACTCCAGCCACATGAGGTCTAGCATTGTCTTGCATTAGGAGGAACCCAGGGCCAACCGCACCAGCATATGGTCTCACAAGGGGTCTGAGGATCTCATCTCGGTACCTAATGGCAGTCAGGCTACCTCTGGCGAGCACATGGAGGGCTGTGCGGCCCCCCAAAGAAATGCCACCCCACACCATGACTGACCAACCGCCAAACCGGTCATGCTGGAGGATGTTGCAGGCAGCAGAACGTTCTCCACGGCGTCTCCAGACTCTGTCACGTCTGTCACATGTGCTCAGTGTGAACCTGCTTTCATCTGTGAAGAGCACAGGGCGCCAGTGGCGAATTTGCCAATCTTGGTGTTCTCTGGCAAATGCCAAACGTCCTGCACGGTGTTGGGGTGTAAGCACAACCCCCACCTGTGGACGTCGGGCCCACATACCATATGGAGTCTGTTTCTGACCGTTTGAGCAGACACATGCACATTTGTGGCCTGCTGGAGGTCATTTTGCAGGGCTCTGGCAGTGCTCCTCCTGCTCCTCCTTGCACAAAGGCGGAGGTAGCAGTCCTGCTGCTGGGTTGTTGCCCTCCTACGGCCTCCTCCACGTCTCCTGATGTACTGGCCTGTCTCCTGGTAGCGCCTCCATGCTCTGGACACTACGCTGACAGACACAGCAAACCTTCTTGCCACAGCTCGCATTGATGTGCCATCCTGGATGAGCTGCACTACCTGAGCCACTTGTGTGGGTTGTAGACTCCATCTCATGCTACCACTAGAGTGAAAGCACCGCCAGCATTCAAAAGTGACCAAAACATCAGCCAGGAAGCATAGGAACTGAGAAGTGGTCTGTGGTCACCACCTGCAAAACCAGTCCTTTATTGGGGGTGTCTTGCTAATTGCCTATAATTTCCACCTGTTGTCTATTCCATTTGCACAACAGCATGTGAAATGTATTGTCAATCAGTGTTGCTTCCTAAGTGGACAGTTTGATTTCACAGAAGTGTGATTGACTTGGAGTTACATTGTGTTGTTTAAGTGTTCCCTTTATTTTTTTGAGCAGTGTATTTTCAATACATTCAGTTGATTCCCTATTAAGGTTAATACATTTTAGAAAATTGTTGAATTCCGTTTTAATGTGTGGATTCTGTGAGGACCCTAATGATCATATCTGGACCAGAATGAGGCTCTCCACTACCTGTTGTTCCTGCAGTGATGATTCACCATCTGCATAGCATGTTTTCATTATTTATCTGCAGATAATCATCAAAAAGCCTACCAGTAGCCTATGCAAAATAGGGAGCCAAATGAACGGCTTTCTCACCGATGCGAATCAGTATGCTACACTGACTGACGAGACGACAGTCACTCACTTTAGCGTCATTGTCTGGCAAGCCCCTACATCCTAAGAAAGGAAACCTAGGAAATATTTTGGTTTACTTGTCCTGATGCGATACCATGGACATACAGTGCATTCGGAAAGTATTCAGACCCCTTGACTTTTTCCACTTTGTTACGTTACAGCCTTATTCTAAAATGAATTAAATTGTTTATTCCCCTTCATCAATCTACACACAATACCCCATAAAACAGGTTAATACATTTGCTAAAAAAAACTGATACACATTTACATGACTTCAGACCATTTACTCAGTACTTTGTCGAAGCACCTTTGGCAGTGATTACAGCCTCAAGTCTTCTTGGGTATGACGCTACAAGCTTGACACACCTGTATTTGGGGAGTTTCTTCCATTCTTCTCTGCAGATCCTCTCAAGCTCTGTCAGGTTGGATGGGGAGCGTCACTACACAGTTATTTTCAGGTCTCTCCAGATATGTTCGATCAGGTTCAAGTCCGGGCTCTGGCTGGGCCTCTCAAGGACATTCAGAGACTTGTCCTGAAGCCACTCCTGCGTTGTCTTGGCTGTGTTCTTAGAGTCGTTGTCCTGTTGGAAGGTGAACCTTCACCTCAGTCTGAGGTCCTGAGGGCTCTGGAGCAGGTTTTCATCAAGGATCTCTCTGTACTTTGCTCTGTTCATCTTTCCCTCGATCCTGACTAGTCTCCCAGTCCCTGCCGCTGAAAACCATCCCCACAGCATGATGCTGCCACCACCATGCTTCACCATAGGGATGGTGCCAGGTTTCCTCCAGACGTGACACTTGGCATTCAGGCCAAAGAGTTCAATCTTGGTTTCATCAGACCAGATAATCTTGTTTCTCATGGTCTGAGAGTCCTTTAGGTGCCTTTTGGCAAATTCCAAGCGGGATGTCATGTGCCTTTTACTGAGGAGTGGTTCCATCTGGCCAATCTACCATAAAGGCCTGATTGGTGGAGTGCTGCAGAGATGGTTGTCCTTCTGGAAGGTTCTCCCATCTCCACAGAGGAACTCTATAGTTCTGTCAGAGTGGCCATCGGGTTCTTGGTCACCTCCCTGACCAAGGCCCTTCTCCTCCGATTGCTCAGTTTGGCCGGGCGGCCAGCTCTAGGAAGAGTCTTGGTGGTTCCAAACTTCTTCCATTTAAGAATGATGGAGGCCACTGTGTTCTTGGGGACCTTCAATGCTGCAGAAATGTTTTGGTACCGTTCCCCAGATCTGTGCCTCGACACAATCCTGTCTCTGAGCTCTACGGACAATTCCTTTGACCTCATGGCTTGGTTTTTGCTCTGACATGCACTGTCAACTGTGGGACCTTATATAGACAGGTGTCCAATCAACTGACTTTACCACAGGTGACTCCAATCAAGTTGTAGAAACATCTCAAGGATCAATGGAAACAGGATGCACCTGAACTCAATTTCAAGTTTCATAGCAAAGGGTCTGAATACTTATGTAAATAAAGTATCTGTTTTTTATTTTTAATACATTTGCTAAAATGTCTAAAAATCTGTTTTCGCTTTGTCATTATGGGGTATTGTGTGTA